CTGACGTGAGGCAGAAGTAGATGGCTTTGAGCTTGTAGTTAGCGTAATTTTCGTTATAGATACTGCTTAGCATTTTGTAGCCAAGCTTCCTCTCCAACGTGTACGATCCTTCAGTCTTTTATCTGTGGATCGCAGGTTTTGTAAGGATAAGGAATAAATGACGCACCAGATGCTTCGATGATCGCTAATAGCGAGCTAAGGCCGACCGCTTACTAAATTATTTCAGCGTAGATGCGTCGTAGTTTCATTAGTCTGCTTAAAGCATTTTGGAAATTATGTATGTATTCCAAATGCGAGAATTTTATCCCAGATGACAGTCTCGTTTATATGATCTTCTTACTGCGATACTATTGTAAGGTATGATTATTACTGCAGGCCATGCACAGTGGTAAGTTGATTTCCTCAAGGTATAAAGCGATTGACTTCTCGTTCTATCGACAGACCTCAGTTATCAACAGTGATTTTTGATATTCAACAATCACAACTATTTGGAACTTAGTGGTTGTAAGTTGTTGTTGTAAAACAGTAAAAAGCCAGAGACTAGTTTCTGCAGTTCGCTAACGAAGGTCATCATACTACCATCATGAGAATAACGGCATTTTGATATTTTATTGTGTTCCTTAAAATTCTTAGAATCTCTTAGAAAATTCTTAAAAAAATCCTTAGAATAGAAATTCCTTAGAAAACATTAGTAACATTGTTGTGCACAGCCCCCTTAGACCGCGATAAAAATTAGATAAAACCTCATTGACGGCTAATTTTTGACTCGAAAAAGGCATTAGAAATCACGCAGGAGGAACACTTGGATTATAGTATCTATAAATGAATAAGGTGGGTGGAGATAAGTTTTCGTTAAGGTTCCTTGCAAACATAAATGAGAAACACACAGCAAGGGAATTATGCAGAGAAGTTGCCAACAATTAGGTCAGTTCAGTCGGTAATAAATCGAGATTGTTTTGTCTTAAAATAGAATGCACAGAAATTCGACTGTTTGAGAGACCTACAGAGGCTTAACTGTACTGGACAACTAATATAGGAAACTGAGGGGAGCACATGTCGCAGATGTCGTAGAGTTATTATCCATGATATTTATGTAGAATCTACGTCTCAGCATTTAGGGCGTATAAGATCTTTAATATTATACACTTAGAAACAAAGAACTGTATTGGATCCTGTTCAGCGTGACGAGAAATACACTTTGTTCTCTGCCGTTCTACGCGGTTTTTACGAGCTTCAACGTGCAATTATATGATCTGCACGCATGTTCTGCATTTAGGTCATTTAACATTCGCCCGAAATGATTCAAAGTTTCCTTTGGAAAATAAATTTTGCAGCAATATGCAATTCGGGATCGAATATTATTACCAAGCGACGGCTATATCCGGTTCAGGTGGAACCGGTTATCTATCCCGTCAAACGAGCGGAAACGTGCAATGCGCTGGCTTGATTTATGATTGTAGGATGCACGTCCATCTTGCCTCACGCCTAACAGTTGTGTGATACTAGATCAACCTACTGCAAAACTATGCTGAATGAAGAAACCGGTGTTCGCAAATATGGAAGCCATCACTTTCTCGACAAAGATGTTTTCCAGAGTTGAGCACGCAAGGAATCATTGCAGGGTGGTAGAAATCGGAACCTCGATGCAGTCTTGTGGACGTGGGCATCGTTCGATTTTTGAAAGCAATTTAGTAGTGTAACACAATGAAATAAGTAAGTAAATGTCTTTGTTCATTCTGTGGCGGCAAAGGTGCAAGCAGAACGAAAACGTTTTCAATGTACCGCTGCAGAACTCGAGCTTTGTCAGTCTTCGGCGGTGTTACTTCCTATTAGTAAGGAAGAAACGTCCATGAGCGCGTCGAGCGTATTTGGAACATATATGTATCTATGCCTACTTTTTAGCCCATGGGCTTGACACTAAGGAATAAACTACTGGCATAACGAAAATATCCCTCAGAAGTTTCGACGTTTGCTTCTTAGGAGTGTTTAGGGAAGTTTTTCTTATTTTTTAAATTTCAGTCAAGTTTAATCAAGTTGAACTGACCGGGGGCTAAGTGACAGAAGTTCTGCAAGGTAAAAAGATAGATTATAAGACGTGTTCTAAGTTCAGTTCTCTTCAAGTACATAGAACAAGCTACGAGACGTTTAATATATATATATTTACCGTACATATATTCTTCTTTTTGCGTGTGGAATCCCAGTATTTGGAAGACACGTTGACAGAAAGGCGTCTTAGCTGTAAAACTGCTCATGCAGTGGATGCAATGTAAGTGTGAAAGATGTTCCTATTATCAATAATTTTCCGTTTAACGTATTAAACTTATTGAAAGACACTTGGAAAAGTAAAATGAAATCGAGCGCTAGGCGATTGTGGTTTCTACATTTTAAAAGGATAAAGGCGTTCTGCGTGACAAGAACAGCCGAAATGTGATAGATAAAATGTAGGATATATTACGTCATATTTCGTATCCTAACGTATAAATTCAAATAAAAAATGAATTTATTAGGCATTCATCGTCACCCCGTACAACCTAAGCTACTTTGCCCGCCTCGGAACCTTTCAGGTTATAAAAATGTTTAGGCCTACTACTCCCCAATGCGGTTCATTTTCAAGACGGTGTTTACTGTCAGATGCAGTGTCACGAATTTAATTCTCCACGCCCCTTACTCTTAGGAGCGAGACTGCTCATTTTTGAGTCGATGGCCTAAGATGCCTGTCGATAGCTATATTACTGCAGTTCATATTCTTAAATAAATCATGAGTACGTTACCAATCGTCTTTTTTCAAAAGTGTCTGACTTCATTGCCCTTGGATGGCCGAACAGCGTGGGGTGTACTCTTTAATTCCAAGATGTCCTTGACGGTTTTCGTAAACCAACTATGAGGAGTCCTCCAGGCATTGAACCTATTCCCTAATTCTTGCTACTGTTCTATAATAACCCATGCTGCTTAACCATTTTGGTCTTTGACGAAGAACGAAATCGAGTTGGGTGTCGATAAATGAACTTGTGTAGCTTAAGCACGACAAAAGGTCCGTTCGTTGCACAGCCATACTGAAAAGGGCTCATCCTGAGCAGGCATTCTTGAAGCGTTTTATATGTAAAAGAAAATACGTAGGAAAGACATGCACGGAAGAATAAATACTTGAAAAAGTACCGTTAATTATATTCAACTCTCAAGGTCTCGTGGTAATAAATACACATCAGTGGCGACATAAGCACGAATGGGTAGATCTAGCGTACATTCAGGACTCCTCGGGACAAAGAGTATATTACCAACGAAAAAAGGCAGAAATATTTCTATATTATTTTTGAAACTAGACCGTTTATAGCGTATAAATTCGTCCACCAAAAACCTTTTTTACATTTTTCACTGTATCTCTAATTCTTTTTTGCCTATTTGGACCCTGAAAGCTTTAAGATTTTTGGCCTCCTGATACCCAGGACTATAATTGATTGTATTTTCTTTGTGTGGCATGTTGTTAAACTCGCTTCGACACGCTTCAAATGCGCTTTCGCACCATCTCCGTCACGCCTGAGCTCTGGCTCTCGAGCACTATATTCGTGAGCTGTGAGATGTTCGTGATCTTCTGTCCGGTCCTTACAAATAATGTCATACGTTTTCGATCGGATTCAAATTAGGTAAATTTCCAAGCCATGGCAGAACCTCTATACCGTTAGTAATAAACACGTCAAAGACATACCTTGCCTTAAAACATAGTAGGTTGTTATGCATGAACACATAGCCTCCATACGGGAACCATTCGCGAAAACGGGACAGTACTTTTGTATAAATTACCTCACTGTGTTGTGGTTTTCTTATAATATTGTTAATGAAATGTAACGCTTCTGTCCCGTGGACAAAAAATACACAGTTATTGTTCTCAGATGTTTAACCTGCTAGATCAAAAAGGGAAGGCAGATGTGTTGAGCGGTATTATTTTAAATCCTAAAATACCATTAATTTGAAAAAGAGACTGTTTCCCAGTGTTCACATTCAATTTTGAAATGATTCCACCCGAAACACGCATCGTAATGCGGAGAATTTAGCAGAGAGGACTGAGACTAATTGATGACAGCTGAAGGCAGTTGCTTTGATGCGACATCAGGTGGTCCTTATGGATACACAATGTTTTGCTATTTTATGATGGGGAGAGAAACCGTTGCAAATTGATATTTTTATGGCCGATTTTGTCTTCTCGCTGCACTGTGTATCTTTTCCAACTTTTATTTTGTTTCAATATTCTCGATAACAGATGCACCTTATGTTTCACCTTTTAAACTATATTGCTTATTAAACAGTTTGATATTCTGACCCACCCCGAATTATGTTTCCGTACTCTTCGATGAAATCTTTTTATAATTTCATTATGATCCCAGTTCATATAAAGTCACAAAACCATTCAAAATAATCAGCAAAGTCATCATTATCAAATAGATCAGAGTAACGATAATTGCTCCGAAATATCTCGTGTCATCTACGTCCCTCCGGAACGGAAGCAGAAGCAGATACTTGAATTGCACGTAATGGCTCAAATGTTCCTACGTGATGTGTTGAGCAGTTGTCATGTATCATATGTCTCGTGCATTTCCTTCGATAGCGATTTAAAAATGCTTCTCTAGCGATACTGCTGTTATCATTAAAAAGCAGTGGGAGACAACTTTCGCATAAATGAAGACCGCACGAAGTAGTTTGGAAGTGGGGCTTTCTTTAATCAAATTCTACGACGTATAAAATTTAGAAGTGACTTAATTATATATTCAGCTTATAGCGGTATATGTTAGGTTGGGACAACAGTAAATTTACCGTTTTTTTAAATATTAACGTTTTTGCGTTATACCCAAGACAAAAAATCTCGCGGAAACATAACATAGAAATTGTTCGATCGAGAACCAATCTTAGCTAGAAAAAAAAACCGTTAAAAATGACGCCACTGTATTTTTATTTTCGATTTATAATTGTCAATGTGTTACACCCTACTCATTCTATATTCTGTTAAAAAAATTTCCGCATAAACTTTTTTTGCTGAATACCCGTGACCATACTTCATATTCTCTATACCTCTTTTAATCGCTTGGAGTCGCAGTCTAATTATCCTTATCTACTATAGTATTCATTACTGGTCCGGTAAAAGTAATACCTTGTCGAGTATTCGTGATTTAGTACTATTATCACTGTTAGGATCTACGAGTCCTATTGCGCTCGTCACTATATTTACTACTATATTCATTGTTTACCATTGTATTTTTTAAATTAATAGTAAATTTCTTAGTTGAATGCTCATTTAATAATAATTAATATGCGTCATTCTCTGCGCCAATGGTAAATAGATAAGTTAAGCCGAGAAGTACTACAGATATTTAAGGGCTTCTCGGCCTGGTAGATGACTGAACTCCTAACATTTAGGCCTTAGGTTGAATGCCCAGATGCCTTCCAGTTTTTGAACTGACGCTCAGTTTCTACTGAAAATGTCGAAGCTCGATTGACGTACAGCGTGTGATAATCTAGTGGATAACGTATTTGCCTGTTAATCTTATAAACACGATGCGATCTGGGTTCGAATCCGGGCATAAGTACACGTCGCTTCGTGGTGGGGGGTCAGCCATCTAATAGAACGCCGAATTGCGGTACCAAACATAACTCGAAACATAGACAGGTGTGTATAATGCAAGTAAGATGATAGTATAGCATTCTGTGGGGTCATGAAGATATGCCCTTCACACTCTCAGAAATACGGGGAAATCTTCTATGCATTGGTTTACCGAAATGGCTGCACATTTCGAAAAGACCCGCCGTTAAACGCTGTCTTTTGCTGTGTTCCGGAAAATATGAAGCGCTGGTTATTATCACAGTGGGGACGACATATGCGTCCATCCGTTCAGCGGGCCAACAGTCGCTGCCGCCGCCATGCTGTTATGCTGTTCTCTAATAAGACGATCGGCTGCTAGAACGAAAGCAGTCGCATCGGCGGTCGGGCAATCCGACGAAAACAACCCCACCCGAGTACTAGCGACGGGAACATCTGCAGGAGCAAGGGACCAACGGTTTTCATCAGGGAATCATTATCACAGGCAGACAGTGTGGGCATATACACTTGGCATATTTCGACGCGGCGCAAGACAGCATCACACACCAACTGACCGATCACAGCAGCAGTCAGCTAGCGGCGATCCAGCGTTACTAGTAGAGGTCTTTCCGCTGCAACAACTCCAAAAGTAAGCTGGTGAGCGAGTGACGATGCTTTGACTGGACTGGTGGCATAGTATCAGTAGGAGCTGTACACGGCTGTGGGTGTTTCGTCGTTGTTGTACGCGGGCCTGTGGTGGCGGCAACAGGATTTTGAGGTCGGTGGCTCGAGTCGTGGTTGCAATTGCCGTCGTCAGCAGCAGCAGTCGTGCTTGCTCGACTACCGTTGCTGCTGCTGCTGCTGCTGCTGCTGCTGCTGGCGAGACAGCAGTTGTATATGAATCTATTTATTGTGCTGCGTGCTCTATAGCATCGACCGTCATAGAGGAAGCCAACGTCAGCGTCGTGCAGTGAGGGTGATGCAGTGTGTACGCTTTTTGTCGCAGTACCAATAGCAGTAGAACCGCGAAATAGAAGAAGCAATAGTTCTACCAGTACTAGAAGTCAAAGTAGTGTTTGGTTTGTTCGAGGCTGCTGCTGAGCTGCTCGATGTCTGTATCTCTGTTCGTGTAATAATCAGGTCGGCCGAACTGACTTAAAAGCAGTAGGTGCAAATAGGAGCGGCGTGCTGCATGCAGGTTCCCGTCAGTCAGCACAGTGTTGCTCATCTCGTGCTAGTGGTAGTAGTACGGCGGCGGCCGAAGTGTTCGGGCAGCCCTGGGTGTTGACGACAACCGGCGCAATAATCACTAGCGGTCGATAGTTGGGTCGACAGGAGCTAAGCCGATCGATTCTTTAGCGTTGACTTCGAACGGAGTTCGAGGAAGTGCGGTCGTCCACTTGGTCTGCCTTTAGCCGTCGCCTCCACCGCGTCGTGTAGAAAGAACTATCTAGACGATGAATGTATCGGCGCTGGGGGCCCTGCCGGGCTCCAATCCCGGAGAGGACTGCAATATCCGCGTCGTGTGCAGAGTGCGGCCGCTCAACGACATCGAAAAAAGCAAAGAGTCGAAATTCGTCGTTAAATTCCATGACGATAATGAAGGTCAGATTAGCCTCAATGTGAGTATTTGACCCGCCGGTTAGAAACGTAACACGAATGGCGAGCGCTTCCGTGCCAAACGAAACCGAACCTTTTGTTTACAGGTTTCAAGTAGAGAAAATTACGCATGAAGACAAATCTGGCAGGGGAGAACCGGTACAGGAATGACGGCCTAAGTGACGACCCCGGCAAAAGTTTTCTCAACGACTCCTTAGGTAGTTAACTGAATGATATGGTCTGAATAGTTATTCGAACGACTGCAATCCTAAGAACTGTTCATGCTGGGCACTTACTGATCTCCTTAATGGCGATAGCTTCGCATCAAAACCAATAGTAGTCATAAGCGGGAAACTTCAACAACACGTCGACAGATACAAACATCGAAATCACCAATAAAAATGAAAAGCGACGAACATCCTCTATACTTTGAGTGTGCTTCACTTCCAGTAGAGTGGCTTATGGTTGACCAGACTTGGTGAGATGTCAAAATATACAAGCTGCTAGGTTTCAGCCGTGTTGATGATAATGTTATTTGTGATTACAATGACCCTCTGATTTACATGGAAGAAAGCTATTGCTCTAGAATAATGTCGGGCACGAATACACTTGGAACGAGCTTCAGAATGAAAAAATCCGGTCGACGTGTAAACCGACTACGGCTTAACGATTAGAATATACCAATTTATAAATTTAGTATCTGTACGGCGTGGTTGTTAGTGCGAGAAAGGTACTGTTACTACTTACATAGGCCATGAACAGCTAAATAAGGGGTTCTGAAATAGATTTACCTCGTGACGGGATAGTTTTATGAGGCTTTCATAAGTAATCGGATGGGCCCATATCGTGAGTTTTCATTGCTATGCTAGAACACCCGGTATACGCTGTATACTACGTGTATGTCCAGTTATCGTTGTGGGCGTCGTAGTTAGTTGCATCGTATCCCTGTGGGACCGCTGAGATAACTGCGTTTTATGCTGTGGTTAAATCGTTGGTGCCGTTGTTCCTGCCGTACATGTTGACAAATTGCTGTGGTTGCGGTCGAAACAAATCGTATACCACATCGCTGCTATAATCTTTTTTACTCTAGCAGTTACAGCCACATATACAGCCTCAGTTCATTGACTAACGCCTGCATTTTTCGTGAGCTTTATGCTAATAAAACACAATGCGTATTGCAGTGGTAAATTTCTATACGAATGTCGCACTCACGGACAGAGATTTTTCAGTATTCATCTCTTAAACGCGGTTCCTCAGCATCAACACTAGACTACCTATATAAGCCAGAAAACAAGCCAAGACGAATGTAAAAGTGGACAAAGAACACGATAAAGCCAGTCATGTTTACAGCTAACAACCAACAACAAATAACAAAAGGAGACGACACGGGAATTTCGAGACGATAATCGGGACATATCATCATAAAGCATTCATCACCAGTACCCTTTGGCTATTTATAAAACAGGAACTGTCACAAAATGATGTGACTATTTATTATATAGATAACAATTATTGCAGAAAAACAAAACACGTATTACACGTTCATTATTATATTACGTTATTGTTGCTATAAAGTAAAATTAGTTTTACAAACAATATTACTAAGGTTTATGCTTTATGAGTAAAGCATGCGGGCTCATCTTATCGAGGGTGTCTATGGGTCACTTCGCTGAGTCACTGATATAATAGTTAAGGTCTTTATCAGTAAAATAAACTGGTGTAGATCAGACGAGAAACCACGTATTTTAAGACAGGGCAAACTGCTACTGAAGGGGTACCTGAAACTGGATAAAAGGTATTAGCGGTACCTCGAAAATCCTTGCTATTATTTCTAAAGCGTCGTTTTATGCTCTATATTAATGCATACTGTCGGGAACGAAAAATAAACTATTCTCTAGAACATACTGCTCGGTAATGTTAAGAAGATCTTCATGTTATTTAATCCAGCATTTTTCATCTGATATATCAGGTCAACTTTAGGTGCAGCATCCTCTCGGTTATATATATATATATGTATATATATATATATATAGACAAGAGGATTTCGAAGGAAATCTATGGAAATCTGCTTTTAAAGAAATATTTTAAAAAATCCTTGGCCCTCTGTTACCTAAGCTGTGGTTTTATTTGACCAAATCGGTAAATGTGTGTGTGTGTGTTCGTCAGGGAGTCTATATATAGCATATAATTCGTTGTTAAAGCAAAAGAGAAACAAGCGACTCCGTTTTGAAGTGGGCAGTGTCGCAGGAGCTTAAAACATGACGCTTGAACTATTTGCGTCATGGTCGTAAACTCCAGGGCAGTAACTCTTAAAACGCGCAAATGTGCCACCGATTCGTGGACTTTTGGCATGTTGAAAAACCTTATGTCAAACTTGCATTTAAATCTGCTCCTAATATAACTTCTAGCATGACACTGCCTAACATAAACAATTGCATTGTATATAAGTTGACTTATAATTTCAAAGCATCCAGCTTTCGGTGCCCGAGCTAAAAGTTTATCGCCGTCATAGATTAGTGGGTAAACAATTTGCCAGCTACTCTTAAAGACACTTTGTGGTCTAGGTTCGGAAGTTTCTAGTTATAGCTCAGCTTCGTTCTATCTACTGCAAATATATTAGTAGAATTAGTAGAACCCATTCTCACTAGCTACCTGCGCAAAAATGAAAGAGAATAGCTGTTCCTATTAAAGAGGATTGCCAGATAGGGGCCACTCATGATTGACTGACTCATCAATTAAAAAATATGCACACCGTACATCCCTACGACACCGGTGACAGAAGGTGAACTCGAAGGGTTGCATTCGATCTACAACAAATACACGTTCGCATATGTCTAAACACGAGTGGCAAAATAGAGTATTGATAGAATACTGAGAAGAAGAGCCTAGCGGATTCGCAAAGTTATATAAGACTCTAAAATCATTACTCGTATTTGAATTTACCTTAGATTTGTAAAACGTTCCGACTTGAACGTTACAAATCCGCATGACCAAACTAGTAACTTAAGTAAATAAAGTAAGTAAGTAGCTAGCTAAATTGAATGATCCTTTCTAAACTGCAGTCCATCAGGGCAAGTCCTTTGTCTGCCGTGTAGGTATATCATCAGAAAATAACAACGAAAATCATGCACTACTACAACCTATGCCCTGCTTAGGTTGTATCACTTCATGACGCTGGATTCCTCACCGAACTGCCGGAGTTGAGAAATGTTTTAAGTTTAACCTACTGAGTGAGGCTGTTTGATTTGCGTCACTTATCCTACTTTTCATTAGGATAACATGCATATATATGTGGAGACAGTAGTTCATATTATTGTTATTCTCTATTTGATAGTGACACAAGTGGTCAAAATACGTCTGGTGTTACCCTTTACCGTCATAGTAGTCATAATAAACTGTAGAATAGGGTGGATTAGATGGTTGACAGTAGAGCACCAACCTGAAGCAGTAGTTATCGGTAGTACGGGATAAAAGGTTCGAAACAAAAAAGAAAAACTAGTTGACATGATGATCTCACGATGGTCGAAGTAGCCGGAGGCAAATTGTCTGCATCAAAGGGTTCACGTCCGTACGTATATGGACGTCATGATAGGCGCTTGAAGATATCATCGTTCTGGGGCGTTTTACAAGTAAACCACTTTTGGGTGGTTTTAGCAAAATGGAGAGGCTAGTCGCTGCTGGGTGGCCTCTTTCTTCATAAACTGTTGCTGGGAGTGACGAATCTGGTGAAGCGCTCGCGCAGTTGTTACCTGAGTTGCCGTTTTCTTTCCTCATGTCCAAGCAACTTCATTCCGTCGTGCTGCTGCAGCCGTAATGTTGATTCAGTATGGAGCACTAGAAGCTCTTCAGAAAGTAAAGGTTCTCCCAGTTAAGTTTTTACTATCATTCATACGTTAGCATGATTCTCCAAGAGCACTTTTGCTTGTCATTTACTTGTAAAATTTATATCTTGCAAATAAAATCGACATTGAACATTTACTAATCGAAATATTTACATATTTAAACGTGTTCGTACAAACGTATCAACGAAGTAAATATATTGTCGAATTACTTCTCAAGAAAACGCGGAGCTACTTCGCATCATCTCTACTTTCATGTTCTGAGCTACGCTTAATTTCATCAGATTTACTGGTATTTCCTTTTTTAGGAGTAAAGAGTTATGAATAGGAGTAGCCGAAGAAATGAGGTCGAATGAGGCTCGTAATTATATTAAAGCACGTACTGATCATAACGAATGGGAGATATTAAAAAAAAAAAAAAAAAAACTTTTTATTGCATTAATGAAGGCAGCTAATATACCATTGCTTTCGTTTTTCGCTTTCGATGAACGAAGCATTAGGAAGAGACATGTCATTTTGGTTCCGTGATATTATTATCCTATGGTATTACAAGAATGTAGCAATACAACAAGCCGCTGATACTCTCGAGAATGGAAAAGGGAGGGAAAGTTCACTTTCGATTGACTCACGGAAAGAACTCTCACACTGTTACTATTATCGTTATTATTGATCTATTATCTGATCTTATCAACCTGTATTAATGTCGACAACATCTATGGGCGTGTGCTTGTCGCGCACATCGTTTACTAAGGAGTTTGAGCGCATTTTTCTTCAACCCAGCCTTTGCCAAAAAAGACAGCATGCTAGTATTTGTCATGTACGTTCGGCAGTTGATATGACAATGACAGTTCGTAAGCTGTAGCCACCTGTAAACACTGAAGGCGAGTGACATTCGCATTGTTCGAGCTAGCTCGTTTCATGTTAATAAAGGACGTTTATTAGTGAGTTGATGGGCTTCCTACTAGGCGACAAGTCGAACATATGTACCTAGCATAGCTCAGCCCGAGCGTGCATGTGTTGAATAGGTTCATCGGTAATTTGAAAGTACGTCTAATATATCTCAATCAAATTCCGAAAGAAGTGAAAACCATTTACAGTAATACGAACGAGTAACGTTTTAAGTTGCACTTCTTTTTTCTTGGTCGTCTGGTCTCGTAGGCATAACGACAACAACTTTTTCTCTG